CGGAGAGAATCTGCTCTTTCCGGCGCCCAGGAGAGGGGAATTATATTTTTATTATTCTACGAGTAACTCTCCCGCGCGCGTTCGACAAACGAAGTGAAATCGCGTGATGCGCGAGAGTTTGGGATGCGCGGGGGCGAGAGAGGGTTGGTGAGCCGAGATAGAAGAAGCCCAATGGAGTTATCCGCGTCTAGACGAATCTCGTTACGAGGAGGACGAGGGCGAGGAGAGAGCGTCCGGTCGGATGATCTTCGGTATGTTAAAATGGGCGTTATCACACAATACGTCACACAGTTACGATCGGCACGCCGAGGTGGCTGTATTCTAATATAAGGAGGGGAGGGAGGAAGCGGAAGTGTCGGGGCTCTTCTTTTGTCAAAAGATGCAGATTCGCGTGGAGGACGCGATCCGAGTCCATCGTCAACGGCGCACATTATATATTTGTATATATATTCATATATAAATATATATTTGAATGTATATGTGTGTGTGTGTGTGTGTGTATTATATATATGCGGCGGCCTGTCTTCTAAAGGAATATTGAATTAAGCGTTTCCCGGGAAAATCGACTGTGTGGGTTACCATGGAAACCATAGCCGGCCCCGTGTTTCGCTTCTCAACCCGGCGCGCGCGGTCGCATTCTCGCACGGATTCGACGTCGCTCGGATCGGAACCGGATCGCCGAACCGGTCCGACCGACGTTTCATCAAACATTCCAGTATACGGGTTCGCGGATTTTTTTGGGCCAATGATCGCGCGGCGCCGCGCTTTACCTGTCGCGACCCGTCGCGTAACCCCGAATCGAATCTATAGTCCGCATCGAGCCCAAAGCCGACCTGGCTCCCGTCACGGGGGGAGAACAGAGAACATTCTGATTTATTATCGGATTAATTAGTCTCTGTTTTACAAATGAAGTCTTGGGAAAAGTTATAATAAAGAAGGGAACGAAAGCCTTTGGACGTTTTATTGTAGATTTTGCTGCCACCCCTGCGCCACGCTTCCCGCTCCGCGCGCGGGATTTCTTTTTTTTCGACACGCCTAATGTACGTCGGACGCTAATACCTCGGCAACAAGAGATCGATAGTCGGCAGAGAGTGACTTGCTAGATTAAGCTCGTTACTCGGTATCGCGAATTATATTCTTGCTGGGCGCTTGCGAACTATCAAGGATCAATACCGCCCGCGCGCATAGTTCAATCCTAATGCAACTTGCCAGAAGTTTCCGGGAGAATCAAACATAAAGCCCGTACACCGATACCACGGAGAGAGAGAGATACGGAGGGTGAAAGGGGGAGGGAAAGGCAGGCAGAGAGAGGAAGAGAGAGAGAGAAAGAGAGTGAGCGAGAGAGGGCGGGCCGCGCAGCGTTAATCCGACCATAGAAACTCGAATCCGCCACTCGATATGGAATAAAGCGCGCGCTTTTGTCTCCCGCTTCTCGGCATCGTTCGTATAAACGTCGCGCCGTTTTGAGACTCGACATCAACAATCGGTTACCCTTCTACCGTCCGTCATCCGGACGAGTGGCTGGATATTCGACTGTCAAACTGAATTACCGAACTACAAGCCCGACAGTTTTTTAATCAGGAGGAGGCTAGGAGGAGCGGGACACGGGGCGGACGAAGGAAAATCCGCGGAGAATTGCAATTTTTCATCGATCTTTACGTCCAACGTGGTGTTGAGTTCTCGTCATTGACTATGCGTTGTCTGTAACGTTCGAGATATCTAATATCTGACGAAAAACCTGCAGTTGTATACGTCAAAGGTGCCGTTTGTTCTAAAAAAATAAAAATAAAAATAAAAATAAAAATCAACGTTACCGATAAATACGTTTTTCAATGCTATTTTATCATTATTTCTCTAGATGTTTCTCACACTACATGGCTATAGTTTCTGAGTTCTTTCACGTAATCTGAAAGATATAAATAATTCTCTTAGACGATCAAAGTTCTGTAGTTACCGTATATTTTTATCGATACCATCGAAATCTCTCTTTATGACCTCCAAAATACTCCAAGCCGTCCGACACGCTTCATTTTTCGCGCCTGTTCGCGGGTATCAGGGTCCCGGGTACGGCACACGGCCGTGGATCAGACGGTCGTCGTGGCCGGGAAAGCCCGCTGGATTCACTTCCGCCGATCGTCCCTCGCTCACCGGAAACCGGAAAGCCGCGAGAGGAAGAAGTTTCTCATTCCGGGGGCAAGGGTAGGTTTACTGAGCTCGCGAGTACCCGTGCTCGAGAGACCCGAGGAAGACGGAGACAGGCACACAGAAAGAGAGAGAGAGAGAGAGAGAGAGAGAGAGAGAAAGGAGAACGAGGGAGAGTCGATTTTCACGGAATTCACAGAGCGATCGCGAGTCCGGGCACGCGTGGGTTCGCGCGGTGCGGCGCATTGCCAATAAAGTTTCGTGGGTTAACGCGGCGCAGGTACGCTCGATCTACTAAGGCCGATAACTCGATTCCCCATCGATCTCGGAAAGAGGAGAGGGAGGGAGGGGGAAAGAGAGAGAGAGGGGGAGGGGCAGGAAGGAAGAGTATGGAGAGACACGGTGTCGTTTTCCGCAGAGGGAGCCCCGGCTTCGTCGAGACACGCTTCCGCGAGATTCAATTTGCCATTCTCCCTCGGATCCACCCGCGTTCTCTCGGCATGCCTCCTCCTTCCCACCGCCGACGGCGCGGCTTCTTTGGGAGGGAACGACGCGAACGCGGTTACATGCATCGGTTAGAAGCGCTCACGGGCGTGAGCCGATAAATAGCGCGGCGGCGTTATCGGGGAACAGAACTCGCCGCGCTACAAAACGGGAACTAACCGAGTTCGCCCCCGCGTTTTCGGAGCTCTCCTCCTGGTGAATAGAATTACGAGTTGCGCGATCCGCGTGCACGACGTGCATATAACGCGATCGCGAGCGACGCGAAAAATATTAGGTATCGAGAGCGCTGACGGAACGCGAGCGTTCCGCTTAAACGGATCGCTCGAGTAAAATAACGACCCGCGTCCGATTGTCATGAAGAGGACAAGTATTTACATGTACACAATAATTTTTGATTAAATAATTTCTGTCGACTCCTCAATTTCTCCTAATCTTCAGATTTTTCTCTTCTAATTTTCTCTGTTGTTAATTACTGTTGCTAGAAGCAAGGCGTTCAGACAGCGTTAGTCTAGTTCTCCTCCAACAGGCGAGAGAGGATAACAGCTCTGATAAATCATCGTGATTTTCGCGATTGGCGTGCTTCCAAGACGAATGAGTGTTTGCAAAGAACAAAGAACGTGACGTTGTTCTCGCCTGAGCTCTTAGATGCGTTCGATCGGGCGGGAAGGGGTTTGTCGTTTGTAAATGTTCGCGGGAGGAGAGGTTAGCGACGGAGTTGGCGCGCACGGTGATGGCAGCGTCGTTAAGTCCATCCAGAGAGTGGCAAGCCGCGATGGATGGTGAGAATGCAAGTTTACGCGACACGAGGGGGGGAGGTTCCGGCGCGGGGGATCTTAAGCCGGGCTTCACGAATCACATATTTTGCGGAGTGGCGGAGGGTGGCAGTGGCGGCAGCAGCGGGGGTGGCAACGGTTGGCTTTTGTGCGAGGTAGAATCGCGCTTGCCGCCGCCGTCGCCACCGCCACCGCCGCCGCCGCCACCGCCGCCGCCGCCGCCGCCGCCGCCGCCGCCGCGCCGGTGAATAGGATTTTCGTCGACAATGCCGCGACGACTACGAGACGGGGCGAAACTCGATATCGCTCGCGAAGTCACCGCAGCAGAATTTCCGCGAAGAATATACGTGGTGACTGCTTCGTTCTCGCTCGCGTACTATCTCTTTCGCCTCGATCTATCCCTTTCCATCTCGCCCGCTGTCACTTTTCCATCTCGCAGGCACGTATATGTTTATGACGCGCGGGCCGAAGCACACGCGATAGAGGAGTCTACGTTACGCGCGCAGGTGTCTTCGTCGCGAACGCGGGTAATTAGTTCAGGAGACGAAAGACGGCGACGGCTTAATACGGAGTATAATCCGAGGATCCGATTTGCGCTGTGTATACCTCGCCGCTCACATTTCTCTCTCCTTCACATCGCGCTTGCACGTGCTCATCCGCGCGCTGACGAGTTCTCTTTCCGAACGATTTATATGGTATAATTTTCATCATTTGATTAACTCTACTCCGATTCTCGCCTCTGCGAGGATTATCGACGATAATCCGTGCCGTATCGCTTCAGGTATACGTTTAAAACCGTGCGTATACATCGCAGCCAGGTTAATAACACAAGCTCTAACTCTTATTGCACGCAAGAGGGCCATCCAGCGGGCGCGGCTCCTTATTCCACTTGACGAGCTCGAAAATGACTTATCCGGAAACTGTCTCTAGCGCGTTCTAAGGCAGTCAATAGACGCAAGACAATACCGAGGGGCGCATAATCCGGGAATGGCTGCTGCATTTTGACGCCGGATACACGTAGGAGGAGAACGACGACATCGCGCGCGACATTATTACGCCCGCCTTTATTGCGGACCTCCCGGCACCTCTCACGCTCTCCCGTCCTCTCTTTCTCTCTCTCTCTCCCTCCCTCCTGCACGCGCGCGTCCCGGTAACGATATTGACGCCAATCTTGCCTCGCTAACCTCCTTGTTATCCCCGCAGATTACACTTAGAACCGCCTCCGTGATAACGTTACGCGCCCGCATATCGCACCACTCGCCGAGTGCGAGAATATGCACAACTCCCCGGGTTGCCAGCGTAATGCGTCAGCATACGGCGCCCGTAATATATCTTATCGTTCGCGGATAATCAGTAGTTTGTTACTAAGTTGGAGCAATTCGCATTCTGCGAATCCGCGTATTCTGGAAATTCGCATTTCTAACGCCGTTTCATGTTGATCGCGGCGCGGCTTACGCGCTGGTACATGGTTTTTCCCACGTGTATACATGACTGATACATGCTGAATCTCTAAATCGAGCTGATCGCACGTCAAATTTGATTTAAAAAAAACCGATACGGCATACACGTCAAGAACGCTACGTACGTCTCTCCTTGTCCGAGATCAATTGAGCCACCTTGTTGATGCGAGGATCGACGAGTACCAGAGAATTCTCGTTGCCTTTCAAAAAACGCTCACATTCCTCCTTCCTTCGCTGAAGCTCCCGCCTGTAATAACAATTAAAAAACATATATATGCATACATGTGTTATAAATGAATGCAGAGATCTCTCTAGAGCGGTCATTTCACCGGAGAACACATCTCCATCGCCCCCGTTGTTTTATTTCGACGCCACTCGTTAAAGCGGGCTTAAAGCGAGCTCCCCCGCCCGACTCTATTGTAATTAGCGAAACATTTGCAAGTCATTTACAACGGTGGGAAGGCGCGCGCGCGAGAGAGAAAGCGTTATGAATATTCCACGTATGTTCCGGTCGCAGGTAGCGCGATATGTACTTCCGGAATAAACACTCGCGAGGCCGACGAGAGCTTCAAATTACTATATCTTCTCGAGTTTCACGAAGTAGACGCAAATACTACGGAGTTTCGCGACTGTCAGATATATACCACTCCGATATACATATACGCATTCGATGTGCCGGCAGTAACCCATAGGATAGAATGTTTGACGTGACGTATCACTATTGATACAAAGATCGTGCATATATACGCGTATATAAGCAAAGATCGATACAGAGAAAGAGAGAGAGAGAGAGAGAGAGAGAGAGAAATAGAACGGGAGACAGTGACTTGAGAGATACGTATATGTACGCAGCAGCATTCATAATTGAAAAGCTTCGCGGAGAAGCGCGTTGCGAATTTATCGGGCGGGATGTTTTGTTGGAAAAAAACCGCTGGCACACAAGCTCGAAATGTAATTTAGAGTACATTCGAGTAACGACGAAATCTCTAAATGAAATGTAATAGCGAGATTAAAAATTTGCATTATCGCGGGAGTACAATGAAAAAATGTTATCTTTAATTCTTAATCGTGCGACCTGTTAAACACACGGAGTCTCGGACGGATGGAAATTAATTGTATCGGAGAGGAAAAGCGATTGTATCAAGCGTGAGAAATTATTTTGTTGGGTTTCAAGTACAGATTTTGACGGACGAGAATTATTGTTACAGGGGAAAGCCGCGCGTGCCATCCCCTTGTCGCTGCGGTCCGCGAAACTGCAACTTGCCGCTTTACGTGTACGTAAATTTCTCGCAAGCCGAAGGAAGCGACGGCATAAATCGTGGCAGAAGCCGTGGGTTTCGTAACACAGAAACAAAAGGAGAAAGGGTGGAAAAAAGGGAGAAGCTGGCGTGGCAGAGAGAAAGTCGGTTGGAAATTACAATATTCATTTCGATAAAAGGGATGCAGCGCGGTGCGCAATCGTGTACACTTTGCTCTCTCTCTCTCTCTCTCTCTCTCTCTCTCTCTCTCTGTGTGTGTGTGTGTGTGTCCGAGGGTAATTTATTATCTCGATACCCAGAGAATTATCCCGCTTTTGCGCTGCGGACTCTTTCACTGCGGACAGCACGTCCGGCTGCAATAAATACTCCTATGATAACGCGCGGCGCAAAATACGCCAATGATTCGCCCAATTAAGACCTGACATTACCGATAATTAGCGAAATCGTTATTTTGCTGATAATTTGATTTAGGAAGTCCGCGAAAATATCAGAGGGAAACGCCGACAATGATATAAAGTCGAGTGGAGTAATCAAAGTCGTTTACGTAAATCGGGCAACGTAAATTCCCAATGATAAAATTAACAGCTATTATAACATCATTAAAGAGTAAATATATACGCGTAATATTCGCCGGCATACATGTGAAATTTAAAACCGGTTGCTGCCAATTTTACTATTGGAAATCCATTATACCGCTCCACTTTTCTTGCGTGTGTCCAACTGTCCACATTAGAAAACTTCTCTCTTTCTCTTTCTCAGATTTTTCTAAAATTTATCTCTCATTCATACAAAACGATTCTCTTTTAAAAAGACATGTATACTTTACACATGTATACACGTTTTAAACTTGGAAAACGCGCGAATATAATAATAACGAGATGATACGTCGAAACGTATGCGGCGAAACATGCGTACAAGGGTAAAATATATCGACGAAAAAAGTTCAACATAAGGGAGACGCGATTTAACCGGTCCTGAAAGGGTCATTCTATTATTTTGGATTTTTGTTATAAAACTGTTTTGCGGGAGGAGTTGATATCGGATCGCACTGACGAATGGGCACCACGCGGGAAGGGCCGAGGGGGGGGAGGGGGTTTGCCCGCCCTCGGGCGGATCTGGTATCAAATATTATCCATTATTAAACACTACAGAGCCCGCGCGCGCGTGTAGCAGCGTGCGTCCGTCAATTTTTCAATATTTTCCTGGCTTGGAGCGCCAGAGCGCTCCGAACGCGGCCGTCACCCACCCTCCCCGTGCCGCGGCGGTGTATCGGTATAAATTCACGCGTTACCTTTGATATACAACGCGATGCGATATCATTTATCCCGTCCGCGCGGATTTTCGAGTTGTCACAACGCGCGGCGATTCTAAGGATATCGTTTTTGGGTAATAATTATGAGCAGAATGTGTCGCAACGAGCGCAACTTCGATAACGTTTCAACATTATCGCACATTTCCGCGGAACCTGCGGAACTTTGATTGAGATAAAATTGTACCAGAAACGAGACGTGTATAATCGCTATTCATTTGCACCTCCAAAAAACTGGATTTCTTCCGGAAAATCTCTGGATCTTCGAACGACACGGGCCTGAAAACGCTCTACCTCCGCTCTATCTCGATCTCCTTACGGAAAATCGTCGAAACGGCAGAAGGAGCGCGTGCCAATCTCGTTGGGCTCGTTTCAACGCGTGGCGAAGTAATATATTTCGGCGTACCTATTTCAGCGAAGAGAGGGTAAGGGAGAATGTTTCTACGTACGAGAGAAAAAAGGACGCGCGCTCATTTCGCGCTTTATGCGGCCGCCGCAAAATCGATCGTCGACGATCGAATGCCACGATGGAGGAAACAGCGTACCTCTGTTTTTCCTACAAATTGAATTCGGCCCACGTTAAATATTATCGGTTATTAAAAGCGACGTCGTGTGCGCGCACGTATATGTACGTATGCATGTGTGGGATCTGTCGATATTTTTCTGCTCCATGAACACTCTCTTTGGGATTTTTCTCTCCTTTTTCCCTCTTTCTCTGTCTCCCTTTTCCTCCTTCCCTCTGCTTTTCTCTCTTTCTCTCTCTTTCTCTTTGGTCTCTTCATCGTCTCTCACGTCCCTGTCCTGCTTTGCCTGGGTTAATTCCGCGGGTTACTCACGGGTAGGGAAGGTCGGCGGTGTCGGTTTCCAGATCATAGCCACGCAATATACAGATCCGGAGCGACATATCGATCGATGTGGATGAGAGCAGAATAATAATTTGCACTGTTATTGCGAACCCATCCGGCGAAATCAAACCGGGCTGGCGCGCTCGCCCTCTTGTTTCCCCTTTCCCTACATCCCTATATCCCGGTATTTGGCTTCTCTCTCTCTCTCTCTCTCCCTCTCCCTCTGTCTTTTCAGCTCTTCTTGTTCATTATCTTCACCCTTCACTCTCTATCTTTCTCTCTTTCTTCCATCCATTCTTTTGAAGGTAGAGTAAATGCTTTTATTGATTCCTTCCACTCTTTTCCCTCCTTTTTTTTTGCATCGGCTTCTACACGTACACACACGTTAGGCGCACGCTTTGTTCGGCGGATGAGTGGAACAGCTACGAATATGCGAATGACAAGTGGCAATCGATTGGAACTCATCGTCTCCTCGGCGCGGCGCCCAGCTCGTCGACGCTCCCAAAGACGCTTCGCGTCGATAGAAAAATACTCCTGACATGTACTTGCCCCGCCGTAATGGCTTCATCGCCGTAGACGTAATGGCATTCTCGAGACAGTGGCAAGCGAGAGACAATCCCCGCATAATCTCGCGCGACATAGTTGATTTCGCTTAACGTCCCGACCAAACTACTGAACGTCGATCTTTCTCGTGGGGAATAGCAAATAACGAACTTTAAAAAAACACATTTTTTTCCCCACAGTTACTCCATTTACATACATTTATTACCGCATAATTTTCATCTGTAATATTCGTCACGTCATTTACATTTCTTTCGCGTTCGCGCGTGAAAGTGGTTTCGTTTCGTTTCGCTTCGCGAAAGATTGATAAATAATTGATAAATTTCGCAAATAACTCCGTACATAACTTGGACGTTATTCTTGAGAGACTTGTCGGAAGAACAGCGACGGTTTAGCAGAACTGCGAGCGAGGTGAGCAATCCTGGCCGACGTCGAGGAAGCACGGGGGAAGTATGGTTTACTTCAAAAACTTTTTACCGATAGCGTAGCCAGCGGGCACTTTAAATAATCCTTCTGCACGCGGATATTAAATTTCTTACCGTGGCTCGCGGTGAGCGTGGCGGGTGCCATGGTAGTCCGTTTAAACGGTACACTTTGTCCGCAAGACCGGATTGCTGTAGTATTACACACACCCACGCACACACACACGCGCGCGCGCGCGCATGCACACGCACACCCACACACACACACACACACACACACACACACACACACACACACACATATATATATGTATATATCTTGTAGTCCTGTGGCCATTTAAACTCTAATTGCGAGTTCGGTAAGAAACCCTTAAGGCTAATTGAGACGACTTTTTCATGGAGGCGTTATTTTACGCTCTGAAAGACGCAACGGCTCTCGATATCGAGCGTGTCGATCGCGTTTCCGCGATCAGTTCCGTCGTGGCTTTCGAGAGGGGGGAGCGGAAAAAAGAGCAATGGATGTAACAAGTTGCAAAATGTTGTAGAAAAGCGAGGGGAAAAATTTTTGTTGAAAAATCGCGAGCACGAGAGCGTAAAGATGAGAATTCTCTAATTAAAGCCGAGTGACCATGCGCGTTCGAACTTTCGATTGGCCCTCCTCCCCTGCTCGCACGAGTTTCGTCATTAGCGGATTTACGGAGCGTCTCTCGAGAGCCGCGCTGGACGTATTGAATATTAACGGACGCTCTCGTAAAAATTCTCAGAGTTGGCAAAGTGGTTTTACGTTGTCCCTCATCGTCGACTTCGGATACGCACGGGATGTTAGGAACGCTCGCTGCCTGCAAATAACG